ACTCATCCTGCACACCCAGTAGTCCATTAAACTAGTCCTGCACACTCAGTAGTATATTAAACTCATCCTGCACACCCAGTAGTACATTAAACTAGTCCTGCACGCTCAGTAGTATATTAAACAAGTCCTGCACACTCAGTAGTACATTAAACTAGTCATGCACACTCAGTAGTACATTAAACAAGTCCTGCACACTCAGTAGCACATTAAACTAGTCCTGCATGCTCAGTAGTATATTAAACAAGTCCTGCACACTCAGTAGTACATTAAACTAGTCCTGCACACTCAGTAGTACATTAAACAAGTCCTGCACATTCAGTAGTACATTAAACTAGTCCTGCACACTCAGTAGTACATTAAACTAGTCCTGCACACTTAGTAGTACATTAAACTCATCCTGCACACTCAGTAGTACATTAAACTGGTCCTGCACACTCAGTAGTACATTAAACAAGTCCTGCACACTCAGTAGTACATTAAACTGGTCCTGCACACTCAGTAGTACATTAAACTAGCCCTACACACTCAGTAGTACATTAAACTAGTCCTGCACACTTAGTAGTACATTAAACTCGTACTGCACACTTACTAGTACATTAAACTAAAAATATGCCTTACAACCCCTCTTGTTTGGTCTACTAACCTTTCAGAAATGAACAGCTTTAGAAAATAAACAACTCTGGTGAATATCAATTGGCTGATACATGATTTAGACCACAGGATAAGTAAACATTAAATGCCTGTGATAATAGATACAAAGAATTTTTGTATATATAAAAACCATTCCCTATGAATTTATGACCCCCTTCAAAACACATGGCCCACTAATGATTTATGTACAAACAGTGATAAGAATACCATGTTGATTAAGCTGTAACTAAACAACAATATAACAATGTGCTATTTATATCTCAACACAATTCATGAAAGGGAAAATCTCTCTTGATAACAGATGTATTCCACCATTATAATCTTAACTCCTTCAAGCTTAGAATAATCTAAGTTTTTTATGGCTTATATAAAAAAAAGAACTTGAAAATTACACCACAATCATACAAGGTTTGAATACATACACTGATTTTAAAAATGTAGATAGGCTGTTCTAGTGATAAAACTTGGAAGAAAAAAAAATTAAAGAAAAATAATAATAAGTAAAAAATGATAACTTCAAGGTATAAGGAGTAACACTGATTTTTTTATGAAGAGTCTTTCCGCCAAGCGAGTACAGGCCAACTTAAAGGTTTCCAAGATTCTGTTAGTGAAGTGGCTGAAAAAATAACAGTTAAAAAAAAAGATAATGTCTCAAAACGCACTGTGGAGGTGAGTCAAGTTGTTGGGTTCAGAACTACATGTTTATAAGATATAAACTGTTAGCTGTGAGGTAAACCATCCGCTTCAGTTGAAAGCAATGATAAAATAACGTGTTCCCTGAGTCAAAGCTGAATTCAGGTAAGTCTCTTACATTACTTGCACAGTGTAACACTGAGGTATTTAGTTTTGAAGTAGTTTAATCTAAAAATTGATTCGAGGTATCTTGTTGTTCACTGGTGTCCACTACTAATGAGGCTACTACCCCTCTTCTTTGATAGATGTAAATATATATATTTATATGTACCCGTTTAACATCCAATAATGTGGACAGTCTTTCTCAGTGAGGCTCTTTCCCATGAACTTCACCCTAGGAACTATAGTATGGCATATACTTGTGAAAAGAACTGCCTGCTCTCAACATACTTGAAGTTACAAACAATCTACGAGATAGTCACTTTCATTTAAAGTAATAGGTTCTGTCTAATCTGTTTTGATTGTAGATGCTACTGTGGTAGTTGGACGTATCAACGTCATATTTCGAGCACTGGGAGGAGTCATGGCAATTAAAGGAACAGGTTGAGCAGAACTAATGGGCGTTAGAGCAGGAAAAACACTAATCGTGGATGATACAGTTGATGTGACAGTGTGGGAAGAACTCTGGGAAGTTACTGCTGCTGTTACTCCAAGTGATGCAGCAGCAGCAGAAACAGCTATTGGAGGGCTTACAGAAGAGGCCATGCTTGAAAAAGAACCAATCATTGAAGTTGGTGGGTTTATCCTCTTCTCCTTTTGGCGACGGTTACAGAACCACACACGCACTACTTCCTTCTCCATAGCTAGGGAGTCAGCAAGCATGGTAATCTCCTCTGATGTTGGCTTAGGCATCTGTTTGAAGGCCTTTTCTAATGCCACCCGTATATTTGTTTCAATACTGGTTCTCTTCTTTCTCCTCTTTCCAACAGCATCTGGACAAGTGTGAGCACTGGTGAGAGATGCTGGATTGCTAAGAGATGCATCAGCATCTTCTAACCATCGCTGAAGAAGTGGTTTCAGTTTACACATATTTTTGAAGCTAAGGTTTAGCGCTTCAAACCGTGATATGGTGGTTTGACTGAAGTCATTTCCATACAGCTTACCCATAGCAAGACCAACATCACCTTGGGTGAAACCTGCATGTACAGAAAGTTTTCATTAGCTGCTTACATAAAGATGTGTTAAAATATATAAAAAACATTTAATTTTACTCTCGACTAACACTATTGTTTGTAGCTTAATAATGTAAACACAAGAAAAGATAGAATTATTGTTGTCTCACCCAGTTTTATTCGCCTCTGCTTGAAGGTCTTGGCGAACTGCTCTAATTCCTCAAGGTCTGTTATTTCCTCGGGACTGGGTTCAGAAGGTCTGGATTTAACAAGGGGGGCAACGGTTACGTTCTAATAGCAGAAACAAAAACAAAAGTTTTAAGTATGTCTTATAATGAAATAACAATTGTTCCATAGCTTTACAATAAGAAAAAACACACTTTATTAATACCCCTACACGTGCTCCCTCCATTCCATTATTAATCAGTGAAACAGAACAACCAGAAATGTGTTTAATATCTTAATTTACATATCACAACATTTCACCTTCATTATTAATCAGTAATACAGAACAACCAGAAATGTGTTTAATATCTTAAATTAATTATCACAACATTTCACCTTCATTATTAATCAGTAATACAGTACATCCAGAAAGGTGTTTAGTATTTTAAATTAATTATCACAACATTTCACCTTCATTATTAATCTGTTGAATCGCATCACAAACAAAAATCCATAAAAACATTTTCACACTCTGGGTATTCAAGATTCAGACAATTAGAAAAATAACTGTAGAATGTGCAACAACCATTTCTTTATAATAGAACACAATTTGAAGTAAAAATACTCTCCTCACAACAAGAACACAACTTTCACTAGGACTGTACATGAGGGTTTGATTACATATTTATTGTTATAATTTGTAAATATAGTACTAAAAAATGGAGTTCTTAGAAAACTGTAATACAGTTTATATCAGCACAATCTGGAATGCTCTTCCCATGCAATACTTCCCCTAAAAATCATTGTTTAGAAAATGTTCACTTTTTTTCTAATTTTTTTCAATGAGGTATGAATACTACGATTAGTAATACTAGCACAAACAGCCGCTCTAAGGGTGACATTTCTGCTAGTTGTTAAAACTATACATACACTGTTTGAAACAAGTACATGCGATAAAGTAACAGGCAATACTGTGATATCGTGATCAGTGACCTTAACAGATCATCTACAGTGGTGTAGGAATACGGGGGTAACTATCTCAGAGCCTGGATGTTCTGTGGTACAATGGGCTTATCACAAATTATACAAGTTGTTCATAGTAAAGGGAAAGGAATATCATAATATTAGGTTTGACAATAAACGAAAAACAAAATTCAATTGGGTTTTAATCTCCACATTAAATATATATTAATTGAGCTTTCAACTCTTCTTTCAGAGCAGTGTTCAGGCTAATTAAAATTTAATAATAAATTTCTATAAGTATCAGAGTGAACACATGGAAAGAACTTGTTTACAAAATAAAAATACATCATCCGTCATTAGAACAATAGTGGCAAACAGTGTTGTATACAGTACTACAAAAGAGAAACATTGTAATACAAGTCAAGTTCGAAGATAAGAGTTGAAAGTATAATATTGAATGTGAAAATGAAAACTAGATTGAGTTATTATTATTTTTCATTATTAATTTACACATTATGAAATTAAAACTGAAGATTTAGCAATTTTACGTTACAAATTAAGAATAGCCCTCATGATGCAATACAAAGTATTAGAAAAGAGGTGTGTACCTCCAACTGTCAAACTTTCATTGATCTGTGTTGTTAATAATTTATTGTTAAAAAATATATTTTGGTGTTAGATCACAGGAAATAAAAGGAAAGGAAATCATTACATGTACGTAACTGTAAAATGGAGAAGAGTTAGGGCTCAAATTCTTTCTGCAAGGCCTTCCAGACCTTTGCTGTGCTACTGATGCCATGCATTTTAATTACATGAAAGCATACATTGGTAAACCAAAACAAGAAACGTTTTAATGAGGTTCTAAGGAAACAACTTATAGCACTAACCTTAGGTTGGGGTGAAGAATGAGAAGGAACAACTTGGGGTTGTTGTTGAGGTGTCTGAGAGGATTGCGATTGTTGTTGTAGTTGCTGCAAGTGTTGTTGAGCTGCAGCAGCGGCTGCTGCTACCTGTGGAGTTAACACACTTTGAGGAAGAGAGACAGTAGCTTGACTTGCTTGAAGTTGGAGGTTCTGAAGAGACTGCTGCATTAAAAGTCCCTGCGTTAACAAAATATAAAACATCAGTATTGTCGACAAGCTACTTTTAAAAGAAAGCAAATGCATGTTTTAAAAACTATGTGAATCCTTTACAATCTATTGAGGTTTTTCATTACCAGCATATCCAAAATTTTAGATTTTTCATAAAAGGTTACATACAGAGAAACTTGAAACTTCATATATTTAAAAAATTTGACTGGTTATTACTCTTCATAACTAATTTGAAGTACAACATTAATTTTAATTGTACTCAACTAGATAATAAAATAGGCCATTTTTAGTAAGAGAGTAACACTTCTAGATAATATATCAAATTTAGGACTTTTGCTTTTAAAAATGCTAAGTACTTAAATTTTTCAGCAAACAAAAAGCAATGTTCAGTTGGATAAAAAAAATCTACATTAAACCATGTGATAATGATAAAAAATTTTTTATTTTTCTCACAAAGAATAGTTTTTGGCTTCTCGATGCAAAATATTGTATTGTATATTCACTTTAAAATGTCCGTTATTGATATTTTAGTATGAAAGACATAAAATACATTTTATGCACAAATTACTGTATAAATAATTGTTGCATGCCTGGTTTTGAAGGAAGAACTGAGCTTGCATGCTGGCTGATAGCTGACTGGGTTGGAGGAATACAAACTGACCCATGTTCTGTAGACTCTGTTGGTGTTGCTGAAGCTGCTGTTGCAAATGTTGAATATCTTGAGGACTAAGTTGTAAACCAGTCAAGCCCGATGTTACTGGAATCTATATTAGACATTTTGTGAATATAAAGTAAACACAATGTCACTGATATGAACATTCTAACTGTACAGATAAACTAAACCTGATGTCACTGAGATCTATCTTAGACATGTGTAAACGTAAAACAAACATAATATTACTGAAATGAACATTCTAAATGTACAGATAAACTAAGCCTGATGTCATTGAGATCTTTCTTAGACATGTGTAAACATGAAACAAACATAATATTACTGAAATGAACATTCTAAATGTAGAGATAAACTAAGCCTGATGTCACTGAGATCTATCTTAGACATGTGTGAATATAAAATAAACATAACGTTATTGAAATGAATATTCTAAATGTAGAGATAAACTAAGCCTGATGTCACTGAGATCTATCTTAGACATGTGTAAACGTAAAATAAACATAATATTACTGAAATGAATATTCTAAATGTACAGATAAACTAAGCCTGATGTCACTGAGATCTATCTTAGACATGTGTGAATATAAAATGAACATAATGTTACTGAAATGAATATTCTAAATGTAGAGATAAACTAAGCCTGATGTCACTGAGATCTATCTTAGACATGTGTGAATATAAAATAAACATAATGTTATTGAAATGAATATTCTTAATGTACAGATAAACTAAGCCTGATGTCATTGAGATCTTTCTTAGACATGTGTGAATATAAAATAAACATAATATTACTGAAATGAATATTCTAAATGTAGAGATAAACTAAGCCTGATGTCACTGAGATCTATATTAGACATATTCAAAAATAATCTAAACTTCTGAGACCGAGATCTGCATCAGAGAAATAAACTGAATACAATGGCACTGGAAAAGAACAATAATCTTAGAAAACAGTAATTATTATTATAATCTGAATAACCATAAATAATTAAATGTTAATTATTTTGTCCTAATATACAAAACATTGCATCATGTTAACAATGATAAAAGTTGATGGGGGGTGTATTTTTTATTGCTATTCTGACTGAAAAATTAATACTAATTTAATTTTAATCCTTATGTTGATAAAAAAAAATCTTCATATAACAGCAACTTTAAGTTACAAGCAATATGCTAATGTCGATACACTTTATTTTCTGTCTCCAAACATCAGTTTTACAAATCATTAAGCATTGACACTAAGATTTAATTGTCTATCACTGGCTCTTCACTCAAGTTTGAATGTATCTCAATTTATTTAATATTCAACTTGTGTGAATCGAAAACACTAAGTAGGGTTCACGAATAAACAAAATAACACAAGTTAAATGTAAGTGTACCAGAGTAAAATTTATCACATGAACTTAACTGACTTTTCCCAGTTGAAACTGTTGTGCCAGGCCTGCCTGCATTAACATAGACTGTTGTGTTGGGGAAACCATTAACTAGACAAAGAAAGAAATGTTAACAAATTAAATTCCAGCTAGAACATTATAAATCTGGTGTGGATGAACATACTGTCACCTTTTAACATGGTGTACGAAAACAGTATCAGTGATTCCTACATTTAATTTCTCATATGAAAGAAGTTATTCATATATTATTTTTATTTAATTTTATCGTCCAATATTAGATGTAGTTACTATATACATATACATTATTCGCTGCTACACAGACAGTTTTTCACTTACTGTATACACTATGACCTTGTTTGCAGACAGCTGTTGGACTTACTGTATACACTATTACCAGGTTTACAGGCATAAATTGGACTTACTGTATACACTATTACCAGGTTTACAGGCATAAATTGGACTTACTGTATACACTATTACAAGGTTTACAGGCATAAATTGGACTTACTGTATACACTATGACCTTGTTTGCAGACAGCTGTTGGACTTACTGTATACACTATTACCAGGTTTACAGGCATCAACTGGACTTGCTGTGTACACTATTACAAGGTTTACAGGCATAAATTGGACTTACTGTATACACTATTACCAGGTTTACAGACAAATGTTTAAATTGCTCTGTACATTGTTAGCAGTTAGATTTGTATTTTGTTTAAAGATGTTTGTTGAACATCCATTATGTATTATTACCTGGTTTAAGGACAGCTGTCCTGCAGCTGCTGCAGCAGCTGCCAAAGCCGCTGCTGTTGTGGTTGTCACCACTGAAGTTGTAGAGAGGGTGGCTGTAGTAGATGGTGTTTCTCTGGACAGTTGAGAGGTAGCTTGAGGAGTAGACATTGAGGTTGTGAAAGTCTGGCTATTGGACAACATATAGTTTTTACTGGCTTGGCTTGAGTGGATAGTGGCATCAATTGGTTCATCGTCATCCATGGCCTGAATGAAAGAGCCAAAGGTAAGATCTAGTATTGAACCGGTCACAGAATGTGCTATTTACAATTTTAACATTATGCTATACAAAGACATACACAGCTATGTGAGTAAAACAGTTTAGCTCAACACTTTTAAAAGTGCTTTTGCTATATATTCATTATAAAGTATATTAAACGTTGCTCTTTCTTTAGTGCAGGATTTTTTTATTTGCTATTTAAAATTCTCGTACAATGCTTTGTCTGTCCTACAGAATATATTTCCACAAAATAAACTAATAATTGCTTATTAACGAATCAGGAATTCTTTTGTTGAGAAAAGTATGCTAATTGAAAACGATTTAACTAAGCTATATGGTTTCACTCTATTGTGAGTGGTTTGATACCTTCCTGAAATAAGATATAGCATTTTGGAAAATGTGGTGTATACAAATGATTGTAATCATTTTATAATTTCATATTTTAAACTCTTCTGTAATATAATCCTCAAGATCAGCACCTGTGGTTGACCAATGAACTGAAATGACACCATAACTCCACGCTCGATGGCATTAAGTCTGGAGATTACAGCACCCGGTAATGATTCCACACAGTTGTGTTCTGTCTTACAGAGAGAAACACATTCCAATAATATCATCAGCAGAGGCAGTGCATATAAGAAGCTTGGGAAGGCTTAGCCTCCCCAAATAAACTGTACCTTCTAGGGCATTTGTCTCACCAACTAAAAAATATCATACAGTATATGTGGAGAGAGAGAGAGAGATCGAAAGCAGGTGAATGCGAGTAATGAGGAGAGTTTATTCATCTGGGGGCATGAATTGATTCCTCCCAATTGTGCAACTCCTCACACATAACAGACAATTGTGCAACTCCTCACACATAACAGACAATTGTGTAACTCCTCACACATAGCAGAATAGCCTACCAAAACAAAAGATTCACTCACCACCTATGACCATCGGTTTCCAAGGGCAGGAAAAAAGAGGTCTCCACCATGCCCAAGAAGCGAATCTAGTGACCTGGTTATATTTAGAGGAGTGTCTTTATTTCCACTGGATCATCCAGTAGTGTTCTTAGAACATACAACTGAGTGTCAATAAACCGATATGCTATTGTTTAATTAGATTGTTTGATGATGCATAATAGACATGCTGGTAATGGCATTGTATGTGTAAAACAGGTACAGCACCATCTGTATATACAATAACAAGAAACTTATTTTACAAATAAGATTCATTTAGTAGTAATATAGCTTTTAACCCTCACCCCACCCCAAAAAAGCTCAGTGGCATAAACGTTGCTGTTCAAGAAATCTAAACCATTACAAGACAACTTACAAGATTGAGTGCTTTCTCCGAGTCACTATCTTCATCTTGAAGTAAATCTCCAGAATAGTGACTAGTGGTACTGTCCTGGGTGTCATTCGATAGGTCCCCATTCATTCCTGGGTCTGACAGAAAAAAATAAATATAAGGGAACATTAGAATAATTTGTAGCGTGACTGTTCTAAAACGTTTTGTTAGCTTATTACAGTAGGGAACGTTAGAAAATGATTTGTAGCGTGACTGTTCTAAAACGTTTTGTTAGCTTATTACAGTAGGGAACATTAGAATGATTTGTAGCATGCCTGTTCTAAAACGTTTTGTTAGCTTATTACAGTAGAGAAAAAAATTAAAATACATATATTTCTTTAATTACAACCTTGTACATATCTTGAAGTAAAGAGCAAATTACTAAAACAATATAGATAGTGATGAACTTATCTATTACCCTACATAGCAAGAGAAATTTAAATTTATTTATCTTTACATGAGTTAATGTTGAAGCAGGTATACTTTTTACTGCCTTTAAGAATTATAATTTCAGTAAGGATGTTACGAAACCATGTAAATTCCAAAAATCATATTAAAATGAAAATATAAAACCCTATAACCTGAAAGATTCACCTGATGAAGAAAGGTCCACCTTTCATAAGTGCTGGAATGTTAGGGTTTTGTATTTTTGAATTTAAAATAAGGAAGTATTCTGTACAAATAAATTGTCTTTAATATATATAAGTAATTTTCACAGATATATTAATACTTAAGAATTGAACAAATCAAAACAAAAGTCCAAGTATTTTTTGAAAAATAATGAAATATTGTTCTATAGATGAATTTATGTGGCTACTTAAATAACTTGACGCTGGAAAAAAAAAAAAAAAAGGAGGTCCTCTTTAATTACAAAATTCAAGGATAGAGGACACCACAATCTGTATGATTGTTTATCTAAAACCGATGAAACCCCAAAGTTTTCGACAGGTGGGCGTCCTCAAGGTACATCTCCGAAGAAGATATGTCAACTTAAATTTGATTTATGTATATGACTATGTGTTACTGCATTATGAAAGAAACTTATTTATCAAAAACACTAAAACCTTATGATTTTCTCAAATATGGCACTCCAAATTTACCTAACCAATGAGAAAGTTACGAAAAGAGAATCAATACTTCTGCATACATGTTACACTACTTTATTCTCGCGTCTAAAACACCCAAGTATGTCACAGTTAAACTTTAATTCATTGAAAAAGGAAAAAAAAAACAGTTCAGTAAATGTGTCAAAAAAGATGGATACGGAGGCGTAATGTGGGTGGAGGCAGGGCAAGTCTTCCCGTGTTACATACCGTTCTATAATCTTAGATACAATAAACATTTCTAAAAAATAATAATAATGCAGCAAATATACCAAAAAAAAAAGATGGATACGGAGGCGTAATGTGGGTGGAGGCAGGGCAAGTCTTCCCGTGTTACATACCGTTCTATAATCTTAGATACAATAAACATTTCTAAAAAATAATAATAATGCAGCGAATATACCGAAAAAAAGATGCAGGAGGCGCCATAGGGGGAGGAAATGACAGAATGCAGGGGAGGCAAGAGAAAGCCCCCCCCCCTGTTTAATATCATCACATTTTAATTTGAGGTACAATACATATACCTAAAATGTTTAATGTTTTATACGTAAAACAACAACAACAAAAACAACCCTGATTAAAGTTTCCCCCCTACTGATATGTGAAATGGCGCCTCTGGCCGAATGTACTTTTTTTTTTTTTTCCCCAGCGGGTTAGTCTCTTGTTCCATTAAAGAAAAAAAAGTCTATAATATGAAAAAAAAATCCCATAATTCTAGGCGTGCAACAAATCAATGGACCAAACAGATGGGCATGTCATTTATTCACACACACTGTGCTGCAACGACTTCTTCACGGACGACTGACACCAGTCGATTTTTATGCATAAGGAATAGTGAAGATGTCCAGATTCTTGGTGAGGTGGTTGAAAGAACTGACCGAATGAAAAGGTATGAACCATTTCCATCACCGAAAAAGAAAAACATTTCAAGCAATACGCACGTTCTTCTAACGTATCCTGAAATGCAGCTGCAAATTAAATCATGACACACACACCCCGGCCTCGCTTTTTTTTTTTTTATCTTTTACATCTGATGCCTTGTCAATAGCAGATCAATCACCCTAAATGAAAGTGCAAAACGCACTCTACTCAAAATTGATTTTTTTATTAGTTTTGTGTTCTTCTTCAACAAGATGGCTTCTAAACTTGACCTCGGGGGCAGACGTCGCGTGCAGTAACAAGTTCGACTTGCTGGGAGGATTCTGTTATTCCTAAAAAAAACAAAGGTTGTATTAAACGCTACGCGTTGACAACGAGTTTAATACAGGTATATAGTAGTGAATATTCTTCTTGCGGCTTGAGGCATGTTATGCTTTCTACCAAATAACTCAGGCAAAAACAAAAAGCCCTCTGAATATCAACCATTTGTAGCTCGAAGTTTGAATATTACTGTTTCTCTGTTGAGTTATTCGAGGGCTATCTGCCTTTAATTTTGAAGCGATATACTAGAGGAAAAACAGTCAACATCACCCTCCGCCATCTTTTAGGATACTATTTTACTAGTGAATAGTGGGATTAACCGTCACCTTATAACCTCCCCAAGGCCGACGGGATGAGTATATTTGGTGACGGGATTCGAACCCGTAACAAGCAGATTGCGATTCGAGTGTTCAAATACCAGGCTATTAAATATTACTGTGAGAAACGAAACTTACTTTCGTTGTTTTCCAAGCTTGAAGAAGAGCACAAGATTTCTATTTGTATCCACTGTTATTTATTGTTTTAAGCTACTAAGACGTAAGATATCGCGCACTCTGAAAATAGGCTGACGCATTTTTTTTTACAAGAGATGTACTGATATTGTTCCCGACAGAAGCGAAACTCCTAATTATCAATACAGCAAGATATTCCTAGTGTTTGAGTAAACATTCACCTCGCTGTTTCTAGCTCCATTTTTGAAAATCGAGAGAAAGATCCAACTGTTTATCGTGGAGTAATTAGAAATTGTCCCAAACTTTGACATACAATTTCGAGTTCATTCAGAAGTCTGCATTACGTGATTAACAAAAAGAGTTTTTTGTTTGTTTTTTAA